CTGTTTATTTCATACGTTATAATAAAAGTGTCTTGTCTTTGTTCTGAGGTCAAACAGCAACTTAAAGTAGACTGTACGTGACGAGACGTTTTTTAATTGCTTCGTTTGTCGCCTCATTTTTACTTAACTATTGAAACGTACAAAGTCCTCCCAATTTTGTTTTTTTTTTATTTCCTTTTTGTTTGTCGCTTGCATAATGTTTTTCTTATCAATATTGTATTTCTAATATTTCACGACTTTTTTTTTCAATACTATATGTTAATATCATTTATGGACCACTTCGCATAGTTGGCGAGTATTACAAAATTGCCCCTCCCCTCCAGTGGCACAGCGGCACGTCTGCGGACTTACAACGCTAGAATCCGGGTTTCGATACCCTTGGTGGGCAGAACACAGACAGCCCATTGTGTAGCATTGTGCATAATTACAAACAAATTTAAAAAAATGTTACTTTGATCATCATTCTCTTGTCACTACAAAGTTAACAGTAAAAAAAAAGGAAAACTCGAGATTAAAAATATATTTGAGGGTGGTACAGTTCCGTTTATACAATTGATTGACTGATCCACTGACGTCTACAGCAACGGGAAGAAGGCTGTTCCTTCTTTCTCATTCCCTCCCTTCGCTTTCTTTCAACCAACGACGCGCTCCGAACAAACAATGGAAAGGTTATCGAACTGGTACTACATAGTTTAATCACAATAAACGCCTTTTCTTTCTTTTACTTTTTTTTTTGTAGGTACTTAAGTAAATTTTATAATATAGCTATTTAAATCGCTATATTAACAAAATATAATCTACAAGTAAGATTTAAAACTTCGGGTTACTTCAGAGGAATATCTAAACTTCTTGGTAAAGCTCCTCGTGTCGGTTTTAATTATAGATTCTTAAATAATCGGCCGAAGTCTATACTTAGAAGTACAGGAAATGCAGTTTTCTCTCGTATGATATATCGTATACGATTAAAAGCTGTAATTTCACATTCTTCGTGTGTTATCTGATGCATGAAACAACTTGTTAGCAATGACGATCACTTCAAGTGCTGAATAATAGGAAAATATTGCTCCTTTGTTGTAACTATTTTAATAGTCAAAATATTTTAATGAATGCCTAAAATAAAAATCAAGATTTTGAAGGATATACTCAAACTCTGCCTAACAGGTGAGAGAGATATAACAAGTGTTACCATTGATATCATTATATCAATGTGTTGTTGGAGTATTCGTAAGGAATTGTCAGTAAATTGATATTAGGAATTAACATCGGGCTCATAGATATTATAATAACAATTTGTAAAAAGTGGAATCAGCCAAATCCTTCAGAATTAGCTTTTGAAAAAAACCTATTTTATTTTTACGTTTAATTAAACTTAAAGCAAAGACGTGTAAGAGTTACGCACAAATAGTTGTCTGACTGCACATTTCTAAAATATAGGCCTAACGTTGACATCCGCCGAAGCGTAATAGATTTACAGGCGGTGTTTTTACATTTTACATATGCCCAAAATGTTGATCCAATTTACGTGTGTTATGATACTGGAAAGAAGCAAGCCACCTCCTCTTGACAATTTTATTTAAAAAATTCGATATTTTGAACCCAAATGACCCTCGTTTTAATAAGTTTGTTTTTATGTGGTTAATTGAAGTATCTGTTTTTGTTCACAGGACGATTTGCTAAACACAGGGCGAAGTTGATACCAGGCATAAGAAGCCTTATTTGAAGAAAGTAATTTCAGTGTTAGAGAACATGCTGGAAGTTCAAGAAACAACAATAAAATACCATAAGATCTATTAACTGTTAGTTAACTTTTACCCTACTCTGTACAATACTTAAGTTGACATTCCCATTAATATAATATTGTATTAGAACCTGTCTACAACTAGTCAAAGCGGACACGAAAATAAACGTATTAAGATATAATTTGAAACATGCAGCACACTAAATCCAACAACAAGAGTACATTTAGATACGAATTATGCCCCTACCCCCCACGACTCAGCTGTAACGCTAAAAATGGAGTTTCGATTCTCGTGGTGGGCACAAAGTAGGCAGCGTATTGTGTGGCTTTGAGCTCAGTAAAAAACAAGCAAAAACCACAAAGCTAGGAAAATGAGCACATATATTGACATTAGACGGAATTTATACATAAAGAATCTCATCCAAAGCTTAAACAACATCCCCCAGTGGTAAGTCTGTCAATTTATAACGCTAAAAACCAGCATAGATAGCCCATTATGTAGGTTTACGCTTAACAACAAATATATATTGACGTTAGGCGGAACTTGTATGTAACTAACTTATCCAGTGCTTAAACAAGCGAGGATAGGACATCAAATAACAGCACGTGCAATATGTGTTCGTTCACCTTTGGAATCTCATATTAGGAAATTTTCTGGCTGAGTAATGTATCACTCGAAAAAATGACGATAGTATCTTTAAAGCAAAATCCAATTGTATAAATGAGAGCTGTAATTCATTTTCTATAAAGAATAAATCCAGCATAAAATAATAAAAATATGGCGAGTACAAACGAAATAAACCAAAATTGTTTACGTAAATTTAATTATATACATGTCTTAATAATTAGTAAAACATATACTGTAGTATATATAAATGGTCCCTTAAACTATGTTCTCTGAAAATAAATTTATGAGTACTTTAAAAAATACGCAAATACAGTCACTAGACAATAAAATCTGAAAAGAAATTTGTTTAAACACGCTATTAAAGATTACAAAACATGGCAAATGTTTCCTTTAAACGACCACATAAATTTTTTACGAGCCGAGGACTGGCAGAAAACCCGCTCTGTTTAATCCCAGACTCTCTGTCCTTTCTTTTGCAGTGACTGTCTAATACAACGTTTTTATGTTACCCATTTATACCGTCTACGAATTTTACTTTAATCCTTGTTTTTATTTCCATATCTTTGACAGTAGCGAGATCTAAAAAAGATTTTGTGTACGCGCGCGTGTTTTGGACTCGTAGGTTTTACCAAAACTAAGAAGGCCTTATATAGAGCATCTAATAACAGTTTGTTGATACTGGTTCCGAGTTTTGAAACCTTGCTTTATTCTGATAAAATATAAATTTACAATTTTTGCTTGTAGAGTCATCTAGTGGAGTACTTTTCAAACATTATTTTGGTAACGTTATACAATTCTTACCCTGAAAATATTGTAAGATATATCTTAAAGATACTGTAACCTTAATTATTTTAATTAAAAATTAACAGTGTTTTTAGTTGAAAATTCTGACTATTATTATTCATTTGGGCCTGATTTTAGGTATTTATAAGTCATCCCGCTGACCGTAAATTGTATAATACTGATAAATTACATTTTGTTTGTAAACATAATTTTCTTCGTTATCAGAATAATACAGAAATTGTTCTTCAAATGTCAACGGTATAATAGTTTTAGTTTTCTGGAATGCTGACTTAATGTACATTCTGATGATTCAGAGATAAAAATCAAACCTACAAACTTATGATTGTTTCACCAGTCATGAAACTAATTACTAGGTGTTCGCTGGCTGAGTCCTGAGGTAAACATTGTTGGAATAAGTAGTAAATTATTTCTGTTGCTATAAAAAATGCACTCTTCACATTATTGTTTACTCAGAAATCTAGTGATATACATGTATTTTTTGGAACATCTATGTTTTGTATGTCAGTAGAGCCAGATTAAAGACTTTTGGGAACCAGGGTAAATTTCGTAAGAGGGCATTCAGAACTGAACTTTAAAAATAAGTCAACTTCAATTAAGTATCATTTATTAACTACTTCAGTGGTTAGATCAGTATTTCTCCAATGGTGTGTTTTCAGGGGGGGTCACAGCTGTCTGTACTGAATCAAATTTTTTTTTCTGGTCCTTGAGGTATCTTAAAAGTACAAGTATTATCTTTGTTATGAACTGCGTCAAGAAAAATAAAAAATTTTTTCATCCTTGTAGAGATAATGAGGGGGGTCGTGATTAGCAAAGCCCGGATGTGGGGCAAATCTGGCTGTGAAACACTGGATTAGATAATATAAGAAATACTAACATTTATAATATAATGTAACAATGAACTTTTCGTGAAATAGCTGAGCAAATGTTTATGAAGGAATAAACTGTAAAAAATTACAAAATAATAGTTTTATATGAAGTGACTAAAATCACTGTTGTCATAGTGACACAGTTGAAAACAAGTTTTTCAATACCAATTTCTGATTTATTTTTTATCTTTCTCTTAGTTGAAGGCCCCTTCAGTCTGGCGGAAGGGGAATTGTAATAATTGACCTCCATCATAAAGTAATGTCTTTATTACATATTTGTTTCATATACTGCTATTAAAATTTGATTAGATTGCCAAACTTACACACTAAATTTCAAGAATTGTATTTGCATTTTTCTTTTCTAGTGAGATCAAATATTCCTGGACACTTTAACATTTCAAGAATTTTAGCTGTTAGGCCTACTAGTAGTGATTATAATCACACTAGACTGTAGATGTATTTTACTCAGTTCACTTTAGGTAGTCCACCATGAATTTCAAATTAAAGGCATATAAAAATAACATTTTAAAACATACTTTTTTATCTGTCCCATGTCAGTGTCAAGGAGGTCTTTCGTTAAGTACTAGAAGTCATCAGCTAGATTGAACATATTGGCAGACAAAAGTCTGTTCAAAATCCTATTTTATATGCAATACAAAACTTGTCATTTTACTGGCGTTCCCATTTTTCAGACAAAAATAGACTTAAGATGCTAATTTTATGTGCCTCTATAATTTCAAATTTATAATGGACTAATTAAGGGAATTGTGTGTGGGGGTGATCTGCAGTCTAGTGTGGTTTTTAATATTGTTACTAGATCCATTGATTTCATTGCTTTGTGGACTTCATCAATTAAGAGTATAACATTTAAAAAATATATTTTTTATTTGTAGTAGTTTATATTTAGCAGGATCAGATATCCCTGGATATTTAAATATATATATATATATTTCTTTGTTTCTAGTGAGATCAGATATCCCTGGACACTTTATGGCTAGTGAATCCAGAGAATATGAGTGCTGCTAAAGCAACTCCACAGCTGCCTGCTACAATGTCAATGTCAGTTTCCAATACTGGAGTATTGACAAATGAAGCTGCACCTGCCATTCAGTCTTCTGCTTCAATTGTTGTCAGCTCCAGTCCTATTTCTATCAGTTCTATTCCTTCTCACCCTCAACAAACCCACACTCCCACTACATTCTTTACGGTATCATCCCCAGTGTCCTCCGCTGCTGTAGTAACTACTATGGGCCCTCCATCAACACCTGCTCCACAACCCCATCCTCAACTGGCACCTTCTTCTCTTCAGCCCCAGAATCATGCAGCTCCTCAAGGCATACAGCATCCAACCATTCCAAACGTGCTTCCTTCACCATTGGCTCAGGTAATTTGTGTTCATCAGTCCTAAGTTCTACATATTTTTGTGCACTTAAGCACAAATGATTTTTTTTTCTTATGATGTTACGAATAAGGAAAAAAACTTCTCACCTTATTTATTTTTACATGTCTTTCTCCAACAGATTTAGACTTTCACAGCTGTTTTTGTTTTGTTTTTTACTGATGTAAATGTCCTTCTTAATGTTTATTGTTATCTTGGTTTAGTTTATTGGTTACAATAAAGATTTTAGTCAGAAAGACTGGGGGTGATGATATAGTAGTTGAAACTTAAGTGGTAAATTTCTTTAATTGTAGATGGATGATAAAAATATACGAGAGCAAGCCTGTCCCATCTTACAGTGGCAAGTGAAGCTGTAACTATTGTAGTAGTTGTAATGTCACTTGTGGCAACTGTACCAAATTCACACTGTTGCTACTGTACATTCTAAGTATAGTAACCCAAAAATAATGACGAGGAGAAAACTTTCAAATAAAAGATGTACAGTTCTACAAGTTTTGTTGGAAACATTTCTTGTAGAACTATTGTTTATGAGTTATAATTTGAATTAATCCCATCCGCATGTGTCACATAGACCAAAGTTTTGTGTATTATAAAGTAATTAATAATTAAAATTTTGTTTTTCTTACAAAAAACATGATCACCATCAAATTTGAAGAACTGGGCAAATGGTAGAAAAAATATTCATTTTAGAAGTATAAACTTATAAAAGACACGCGCTGCTCTCTCTCAAATGTTGCTCATAGACAGAGAAATCAGTGCTCAAATAAATAGGCATTAATGAGTCTTTTAAATTTAGACCTACCCATCATTTAGTATGCCCCACACAGTAGCAGACTATTTTGTTAAGTATAATGAGTTAAATACTTGGCTATGTTTTGTAAAGTTATAATAATAATAATAATACTTGAGAATTTTATTAAATATGTTGTTTTTGTTGCAGGAAGGAATTGATTTTCAAAGATTCGTATATAAGTTTGTTTTGGCACAAGTGATTGTTTACATTTTGTTGTTTCAATACTTTTCCAGACACTTAGCACTGAGAGAGATAAAATTTTTTATACATTTTTGGTCCAGGTAAGTAATAAGGCATATGATTTAAATCTCTGCAGCACGTCAAAGACAAAATTACTGGATCTATTTCTTTACAAAAAATATTCACCAAATGAAAAATTTAAGGAAAATTATTAAACACAAATCTAAAGATGTACAGTTGAAAATAATGAACATGAAATTAACATGCCACTGAATGTTGTTTTTTTGTACTTGTACAAAGCAGTCCTAATATACTAAATTATATGGACAGTTACTGCTACTAATGGTTCATTAAATTATCTGGACAGTTACCGTTACTAATGGTTCATTAAATATTCTGAACAGTTACTGTTACTAATGGTTCATTAAATATTCTGGACAGTTACCATTACTAATGGTTCACTAAATTATTTGGACAGTTACCGTTACTAATGGTTCACTAAATTATCTGGACAGTTACCGTTACTAATGGTTAACTAAATTATTTGGACAGTTACTGTTACTAATGGTTCACTAAATTATCTGGAGAGTTACTGTTACTAATGGTTCATTAAATATTCTGGACAGTTACTGTTACTAATGGTTCACTAAATTATCTGGACAGTTACTGTTACTAATGGTTCATTAAATATTCTGGACAGTTACCGTTACTAATGGTTCACTAAATTATCTGGACAGTTACTGTTACTAATGGTTCACTAAATTATCTGGACAGTTACTGTTACTAATGGTTCATTAAATTATCTGGACAGTTACTGTTACTAATGGTTCATTAGTTGGAAGAAGATGAACCCAATTAATTTACTCCTAATTTTACTGTCTACTTTTATATCCTAAATTAGTTTATATTTACTTAAAAGCCTGAGTTTCTCTGTTTGCTGGTATGTTTTATAGACTATGGCTAAGACTGTAAATTAAAACATAAGGCAGAACTAAACACAATAAAGTTAGTTTATCAATTCTAGTTTTTTTAGATACTATCTTCATCTACCAAATAAGGTAAGATGATATTTTATTAATGTAAGAATGCTCTGTTATTATAATATCCAGATGAACATAGAGCACTCTGGCCAGCTTGTCACAACTGACATCATATTCCAGCAAACATCCCTTCTTCCTGTTCGTGCTTAGATAATACTTGATAGAACAAGCTTGTTAGATGAGTTCTTCAGTAACTTTACAAACAAAACAAAAAAGTCAGTGAATCAGGAATTTTATGTTGATACATTTTGTTTTTGTTGTTGTTGTTATGGGGAAAGACTATGAATAAATTAAAGTGTGTGTGTGTGTGTGTGTGTGCACCTTGATTTCTGTATGTTTCCTTTTGTGCATGTAGTTCATATATATATATTACTATCATTAATATTATATATACATACAAACATACATTGTAATAACTTAAGATTGCTCAGAAAAGTCGATTTCTAAGTCAAAAATATGGTGGTATGGAAAAATGAGAGGAATGATAATAGGGACAGTGATAGGATGTAGGCAGAGGGCTAGCTCCCCCTCCCCCAAGCTAATTAATCCATTAATTTAATTTTAGAGTTGATCACATTATATCTCTCATTGACCCCAAAAAAATTTAAAAATCGGGAGCCAGGACTGGATGATGATAAAACTAAGTTTTAAAATTCTAAATGTAGACTTGTGTTATGACAGAGGCAGTTCTTTTTCAGTTCTAATATTTGGATCAGTTAACTAGGTGATGCCTTTTGGGCTGACAGTATGAATTTCTTTTTATAAATTATTGAGAAGCTTTATGAACAGAGACTATAATTTGTTATTTTCTTGAGAGGAAAGGTGGGTGATAGGAGTAAATGAGCTTTTGTCATTCGATGAACCTTAATATGTCGTGGCTGTTAGTAAACAAAAACTTGCATGCTGTTGTACATCTTTATATGATGTATATTGCCATACTTGTATTTATAGATATGGTTTTGGTATAAAGAGCAAATTTTTGTTGCTAGTAACTGACTATATGTCCTGAAAATCTGTTTTTATTATTATTAAAATATTAAGCAAAATAAAAAAACAAAATCTCATCAAAATTTATCTTATAAACAACCTTCATGTATGTAAGTTTAAAATCTCTTGTTCTAGTGCTTCATTAGTAAATAACAGATTAAAAAATAATACCACGGAAGTTTAAAGTCACTTAGTTGCTTAGTAACATAATGTTCTTTGCTGAGTTTTTAAATCCAGAAAGTTATTTAATTATTTAAAAATAAGTTTATAAGGCTGAATGGTATAATGCATCTTGCATTACATTGGGTCAAAATTTGTATTATAATTTTATAGTTTATAAGGCTGAATGGTATAATGAATCTTGCATTACATTGGGTCAAAATTTGTATTGTAATTTTATAGTTTATAAGGCTGAATGGTATAATGAATCTTGCATTACATTGGGTCAAAATTTATACTATAAGACTGTGTTTCCTTCTCTTAGGTTCAAGTTATCCACCAACCACTTCATAATCCAGCATATGTTCAACAGTTATACACTCCACAACAACAAATGTTACTTCCTGGAGGACTCACCATCCAGTCAGCTTCTATGGCACCAACTTTGCAGAGCTTAGGAATGGCCCCTGCTGGTCTGAGTCTCCAGCTTCAAAGCAAGGGACCTCTTGATCCGAAGACTCAGGGAGTTGCTGTTACTGGTCCTACCCTCATCCCCACCTCTCCTCTACAGACTGTTAATACACTTGGAAAGGTAAGTTCATTGTTACAAGTATTTGTGCAATGAAATATTATTATATCAATTTCTAAAACTACACACGAGAAAAAAATGTGTTTGGATATACTTTATATTAGAAAGAGAAATTGCTATAAAAGGCCTCACACCGCATTTTCAGTTATTAGGCCTACTTTGTATTTTTACTCCAAATTTGGAACTCTTTGAATTCTGATGTTCTTACAAATGGTTTTAAGGAAGGTCACATAATTATCTCGGGGCACAATATCACAAAGAAGTGTCAATTAGTAGAAGGAAGTTTCAGTTTTTAAATAAAGGTTTTACCAACCATAGTAAGTAGGCTTAATTATCACTTTTTGGACATTTTAAATTCATTTCATGAATGTTCTTAGATATAAATCATAGCTTCAAACACTAGTAATTTTGATGTTTAAAACATGTATTTTAAGGGTCTTTCAATAAAACTTGGCATCACATAACGAAGTACGGTATTTTGGGTGGGCTTGGAGTTGCAGTGGATGAGGAGACGCACAAACCTTTGGAAGTAAGTTACAGGGAGCTAACAAAAAAAGCTCTATGTGTGATGTATTTGGACATGGGAACCATCAAGCAGACTTTTATTGGGTGGGCCTGGATGCTGTGTGGACAGGCCATGGCCTTCCTAGGCTAACCTGTGGCTATGTCACTGATTTATACTATATAGAAAAGTTATGATTCGGACTTTTGAATGTTTGAGGAAACATATCAGGCTCCTGTACCGAAGGTCTTTTATAGTTAAGAAATAGCTTACAAAAGTGTTAGAATGTAAGTATTGTTGTTTACTGGAGAGAGAGAGAGAAATATATGTTAACTTACACAACAGGTTTTAAACCCGGCACAATAATACTGAAGATAACCTGTCGGACAGTCACAAACCTTGTGGTATGTTAGCGTAAGAAAAGCTGGAACTAAGCCTGTCTCATGTCGTAACTTGTTAATAAACTATGAATTCTGATCTCTATGTTCTGTGGTAACCTTGCTTTTATGGTTGAGCATTAATACTTTTTTTTTATGTAATTTCATTCCAAACCTATTTATTTTATACTATTCGAAAACTGTGTGAAAATGCCATCTGTTGACTAAAGTCTTTAATAACAAATAAGAAAAATGCATGTTTATCACAATACATAATATAACTTAAAGTATAGGTAAAATTGTAAGATAAAATGCCAACAGGGAGATAAATATTAGTGTTAATGCATGTCTGTAAATTTAGATTAGGATATCACTCTTAAATAACTAAATTTAATTAATTCACGAATTGGTCTTTTGTTGATAACAGATTTTTGTGGCTTTGCACTTAATAATGCAAGTTATTTAACCCGTAATGTTTTATATTTCTGTGCATTCACTGCTGTACTTTAAGACTCATCTTTGATTTATGTTTCGTTAGAGATATTGTATCTATGTTGAGAAGAAAGTAATTTTTTTCTAAATAAACTAAGAGTTAACACTAAGTCCCGACCTGTTTGTTTTATACCTAGTTATTTTTACCACATTTACCTTTTTCCTTTGCATTGATCATTAGCATGCTTTTATGGTCAAGATGAGTGTAGTAGTTGTCTAGTTTACTTTAATGGTCAATACTCATTTCAAAATTCTTGTTGTTTTTTTTGTACTTGTTTTGTTTTTTGTTCATTTATTTTAAGCGATAAGCCAAAAAAAAAGTCATAAATGAAGTGTTCAGGGTCACAAGGCTGTACCATCACTATAGGATATTAACCGGTTGGTGTCAACTTAACCATATTGTACCATTCATCTAAAATCATTTATGAAATTGTTTTCATAATGAGAAGCAGCCATTACATCTACTGTTCAAGTATTTGTAAGAAATTGTGATACACACTTTAAAAAGTGGTGATACACTATGTGCTTACGACTAGTGTTTGAAGGGCAATCTGAGAGACATCCCAATTTATGTGTTGCTTGACAAGTTTTACAGAGTGTTGTATTAATATCTTTATTAACTTTAGAGTTTTCTCTAGCGTAGATGTTTCTGTAACCTGGTTGGTGAAGTGTTTTCAGCATTGCTTTACATGTATAGGTTTGGCTCTTTCTCTATCTATGACATTTATATATGCAGTTGATGTTGGTGAAAATCCTTTTTTTTTTTATAGTGTCTTTTGCTTAAAATTTTTCTCTGCTTTGGCTCATTTTGTTTTAGTAGGTGTAAGTTTTAACCTTTGGTTGCCACTCTCACAAAATATGTTGCTATTAAAAAATGCTTCTCTACGTGTTCTCGCATATTAATCAGTTGATTTCTATGGTGTGGTACCTTAGGGTTCATCTCCCATTTGTGAAACATTCTGTTCTTACTGTTAAATGAATAGTTATACATTTTGGTCTGAAGACTTCTTTTCTCTAAAAAAAGTGTTCTTTTTCTGTAGCTACTCTTCAGTTTCAGAGATTGTAGTTCCATCTAAAATGTAATTTTCTATGTTTTACACTGTTTTACATCCCCATTACTTTACTGTTCAATTCTGTGCATTAACAACATACATTCACTATTTTTGTTTTCTTTGTATTATTATTATAGCGGACCTGTTCTCATTTATAATCGTAACCAAAGTTCTTTGTAGTTCTTACCATATGAGCTTCTGTTGTTCCATGTGAAATATTTGCCCCACATTAGAAAGAGACCTAAAGTAATGGATCAGATCTTAAAGTTGTTGGTCTGTCTCTCAAAGCTAAAGTAAAAAATTAAGTCAGAAACTAATAATCTTTTATGTAGTAAACTTTCCATCTTTACTAGAAAAACTCGCACGTATACTGTAGGGAAATTTGTTCCAAAAGTATTTCTTTATTCATTCAAACCAGCGTATTATACTGAAGTACAGAAACTTATGCAGTATATAGCTATTTATGTGAAAGTGAAAATTAAAGTATAACAAGATTCATAAGGAATTCTTACTAATTTTAAATATTCAAGGTAAACATTTTTTATTTCGACACAACAGTTTGCTACCTGTAGCCGACTAAAGTGCGTATTCTAGGAAACGGCCATTAGCTGGCGAAGAAGGTACTGTTCTCAGAAAATCATGCTGTTCATTTTCTGATGATTTGCTTATAAATATGCATACCTTCTAATAGAAAAAATAACTCAAATGAGTGTTCTGCCATGCTTTTGGTAAATTTGAGTATGGCTTGTTTGTCTTTTCTCGTGTATCTAATCTATCAGCTACAAAATATAAGTTCATAACTTTAAAAAAAAGTTGTATTAAGCTGTTAACTTTCAGAATATGGGGCATTGTTTTTGCTTTCCCAAACACCAAAATGTTGTAGGAAAAACTACCACACACACAGTAAAGTAAAGATGAATGACTTAGATAATCTCTATATATTTTTTATTTTATTTATTTTTTGTTAACTTTGAGTTGTTAAGGTTTGGTATTGTTTTAGGGGCTAGGAATAAGCACTGCCAACTTAGTGTCAGGGGCGGGGCAAGTTGTTGCTACTGGAGGAAAAAGTTCCATGCCAGGGCAAGTCATAACCGCCAAGTCCACAACGGTCATTCAAGGACAATCAGGCTTTGTTCCTGCTACCACCAGTCAGACTGTAGTGATTGGTCAGTTAGGTGTTCTCTCGAGTCAACCATCTATACTGCCAACACAAAGTAAAGGTTTCTTGGACAATCAGAAAGGAAAATCTTTTGTAAGTAACGACACAGAATTGGCATATATATTCAATGGGGATTCAAGAAAAAAAAAAAAAAACACTTATTTTTATTTTCAGTTGACACTCCTGCTTAGTTGCATAGTTTTTTGTTGTTGTTTTTTGTTTGCTACAGTGAAACTTTTTATTATTGTGTTCTTTCATTCCAAGTTTTCTGTGTAAATTCTGTTTTGCTTATCTATTTTATATTGGTTTGTAGAATATTATATAAAAGTCTTATTTCAGTTATATTTTTCTCTTATTTTCAAAAACTCTTTAATTCCAGTTGTTAAAATAAGTGACAATTCCTAAAAATTATAGAAAATAAAAAAACTGGTAAAAATGTAAAAAAAAAAAAGTTTTTTTTTTCTCTGGCATTTTTTATTTTAAAGTACACTGTGTTAACAGGTAGTAGAAAAATTTTCAGGGCACTCTTCAGGAATGGAAAACATACATATATATACCAGTTTTTATCTCTTTGTAACTCACAGTAATTTGTTCTCAGTTGTTTTTTTTTTTTTCATTCTGTTTGGTTGTATGATATATAAAACCATTTATTTTCTTCTTGTTCTGTAAACTTTGTTTCTTCTTTTGAATCTGTATACATATTTAGATTAGAATTTTTATATATATGTGTGTGTGTGTGTTGTGTGTGTGTTATGTATTCTGTTTTCTTTCTGTAGGTGATGGGACATGCGGCCTCATTGCCGATTAGGTCCCCCACCATCCCCCCTTCTAAGGTTAGTTACACAAGTAACCTGCATGAACTGTATCTCACACTTAGGTTTATTACACTTTGATCTTCCTTAGTTCATTATGTTTATTTTTAAACTGATGTAACTAATAATCTATTTATTGTGTTGGAATGACCTTTTTTGATTTACTCCTACACTGTACTTTTGGGTCACCCAATGTCAAATATTGATTATTTTATAAATTAGAAATTATCTAAGCATTAGTAGTAAATGAAACAAAGTAAATATATATATATATTAAATTTGTAATTATCTTTGCAGTTGATATCTTGTTGTTTTCAGAACTTGAGGTGGGTATTTTTTAGTGAGTTAATTGCATAATTGCCGACCTTTCCATACTTCTTGTATCACTGTTTGAATTATTTTTCGTACTTTCAGTCCAGCTACTTTTCGATGATGAAGGCACTCATTTTCAAAATTAGATACAGTTCATATACTAGTAAAATATAATCCAGTAAATCAGAATTCTTAGAACAGACCGCTATATTTATATTTTTGCAAGTGAAGTGACTAGTTTCAACAATTTTTTTTTACATTACATGTATCAAACAGAAGAACAATGTGTGACATGACAGTTCTGCTAAACTTAGTTTATAACTATTAACCAGAAAGTTTAAAATGTACCTGTAATTAGACATTACAAGTTAAGCTTAGAAGACTTATAGATAAGTGCTTCTTAATTAAATTTCAGTTGGTCTTTTTTTTTTTGGTGAAAGTGGACACTTATAAAATAAGGTTGAAATGCCTCCTTATAAAAAAATATTTAGGCTTACACACACAAAAAAAGTGCTATAATCTCTCTCTCCTTTACTGGATAAATCAGTTGTGAAAATCTGTACATTATACTATGAGAAATAGGTAAAATGAAAATTGTCTGCTTCTAATGGATTTCAGAATGTACAAGATTCACACAGCTAATGAAAATTGTCTGCTTCTAATGGATTTCAGAATGTACAAGATTCACACAGCTAATGAAAATTGTCTGCTTCTAATGAATTTCAGAATGTACAAGATTCACACAGCTCACTAAAACAGTATCTTAGACACCAAAATCGAAATCATCGGAAATTGGCCTCATTACTATTTTAAATAATATGCAAAACAATAGTTAGATATAGCAATGTAAAATCCAAAAATCTCAAATGTTTAGAAATGATAAGTAGTTTTATATTCTTAGCTAAGATGTTTATTTATTCATAAATAAAAAAGTCTCTTAATTAAAGCACAAGGTCTTTCAACTAAACCCATCGCTTCCGTTAAAAATTTCATTAAGTAGATACCAAGTTTATTCAGCTGAGAATACATTTCCATCAAAACTCAGATAAGAGCTAAGTTACAACAGGATCTTTCGTACAACGAAACTAGAGTTTTATCTGGCATCCACCAATTCGTTGAAGATGTAAACCAAAACTCCTCTACAGTGCGTGTCTTGCTAGTCGCATGATCTTATACCAGTCGTACACATAGTCTGCACATGAAAATAGCATGATGAACATAAATTGTACAGGGGAACATGTCCCCTTTACTTTTTTTTACAATGGAGGAATATCTCCCCATATTGCCACAGTACTAAAACTTTTATATCTGAATAATTTACTCTTATAATCACCAGTTACTTCAGTGGTCATTACATTTTTTATTCTAGATAGAATAACCCTCATACCCCAACCACAGGAACTGTCCTCCCCATTTTTGAAACCAAAGTTATATATTATGCCACTGCTATGATGCATTTATGTGCCCAGGTAATTTCAATTCATGCTCTAAAGTTTGTCATTAACCTTAGATGTTCTTAATTCACCTAAAACTGTGTGTAAAAAGATAAGCAGTGGTTAAGTAAAGTCCTTGACATCAAGCAACAATGCTTGGAAATAATCATCTGTACACTTTTATCATTCCTGTATATATATTTTGTAGGTAATCAATCATAATGCAGCACTCCAGCCCAAATCTCCCATCTTTCCATCACCAGTGTCATCTGTTGGTAGTACAGCTCAAGTTCTGACCAGTACCCAGTTGAAGCAGTTGACCTCTTCTCCCCAACTGATCACCACACAGGCTACTGGAGCTATGCTGGCTGGACATTCACATATATTAGGTATTAAAAATGCTTACTTATTTTAGAAATCACCAAATTTATAAAAGAATCTGATATCGACTAGTGCCACCCGGCATGGCCAGGTGGTTAGGGCGCTCGACTCGCAATCTGTGGGTCGCAGGTTCGAATCCCCATCACACCAAATATGCTCGCCCTTTCAGCCGTGGAGGCATTATAATGTGACGGTCATTCCTACTATTCGTTAGTAAAAGAGTATCCCAAAGAGTTGGCGGTGGGTGGTGATGACTAGCTGCCTT